ACGCACAAACTTAACGAACTTGGTAGTTCGCCGATCAAAGAGCTCGCACCTAACAGGCTTTACGAAAGACTGGTTAAGCACGACCAAGCACGATCGAAAAGGAAATGCTCCGGCGAGATGTATCTTAAGAAAGAACTTATTGAAAATTATGTGTTAAAAGATCATGTATTACGTCAAATTTAAAAAGAGAACTGCGCAAATTTTATAAAAATGCAAAGATTTTAAATTATTCGATGACATCTGTGATTGCCATATAAAATGATATAAATACTATTCTCATTTAAGACTGAAAAAAATAATTATAAAATTTAAAACAAAACAAAATTATAATATGTATGTTACAAAGCACATCTACATTTGTATTTAGCAAATTTTTTTTAATGTAATATTTTAAAAATGTAAGTTTTGGGTTAGTCGCTAATTTAGTAACAATAATAATAATAAATATAATAATAGCAACGAAAATAATAAGTAGTTATAAATATTTTATATAATTAGCATTTCGCATTTTGTACGATAAACTAATTGATAAAAAATAACCAAGATTATCTGTTTTGTATTTGGAATCGCACTTTTTATAATGCGTTGCATTTTATGTTTAAAACATGTTGAACCATTCTGCGGCTTACATTTAATATTCTGCATTCAAAAATATATTTTTTCGCAACATTTTATGTCCTGCCTATGAGAGCCAGGCTCATAGCGATGCGTCTGTGTTTATTCGCTTCGCTCCAGAGACTGTGGTACATGAAAAATGAAGTGAACAGCATTTACGTGTGTCACGCGATTTATGGTTGGTGCGTACATGTACCAGCGCGCGTTTTCGCACAACCATTTTTCTGCGGAATGTGCCGCAGAAGATGTAGAGGGAGGAACCCCGCCGTTCTCGCTACAAAGGAGCTTCAATAACATAAATAGATAACGAGATCCTATTTTTCGGGCAATTTCAAATGAATTTTATTTCAGCGGACGCGTTATTCAAAGCCTTAACATGAGTATAGTGCCTGAAAGTTGGCGGTTATGTGCTTTTATTTCGTTTTATGCGTTTTGTATGTTTGCTTTACAATGCATTAACGGAAATTTTAAAAAAATTCAGGAATGTACGATGGTAATATTGTATGGAATATTCTCTCTTTCTCTCTCTCTGTATAGAACATATATGATTTCCCGGTATGAATAATTTCATCTCATATTAATAAAGTTTTGCTTTATACTCTTTTACAATTTTTTTTGAGAATGTTAATTCAGTTTATTTAAATGTTTTAGACAAGTTGAGGAAATATGTAAACTCTTAAAAATGAATAATAATTGCTATGCTGTTTTAATTAATCTTCAGACAAAAGGAAAACGTTATTTTAATCTTATTCCAGTCCTCGACTATTTTATGTATCATCGAAGTTTTCATTTATATCCGTTATCGTCGAATCACCTCAGATGTTTACGAGTTTCGGTGAAGGACAATAATTTTATAGAGATCGTAATTCTTTCCACGTGACAGTGTAATTTCCGGCAGCATCGTAATTCCCATGGCTTTGCCATCGTAACAGCTATAATTCTGTGATCCACCAGGGAGAAAGTCTTTGTAATTTTCGTTTACATACATTCGCTTAAAATACAAATGCGGTATAAATTATGGATTAACTGAAACATGAGACTCATATTTAACGGTTTACTGACTAATACAACGAGCTGATTTCTACTCTTTTCTGACATCGTAATCATCTTAGGATTTAAGATTAATGATAAACATAGTGAACGTAAAGTAAACCTTAATAATTAAAAGTAAACAAAGATAAATATTCTTCACGGCAGAATAAAGCCTTATATGTCAGGTAATCTCGAGCAATTTTATCCCGATATTAATAAAAGTGTGGCTTGTGCGGCTAGAGCGAGTGTTTCAGATTCCGCAGCTCCATAATGAAACCATCAATCCTCGATACTAATGGTCGAGCAGTTTGTACATAAGGGAAGAGTATAGCATCCTAGCGGGAGGTAGTAGCCTTCACGTACATCGGGATTTGTCGGTGTGCCGTAAGAATGACGCGGATCTTACAATTTCAGATTTCCTTCGTACGCTCTTCGTATTCTCGTAGCGAGAGATATTTCTCCGCGGGCGGCCGGAGATACCAGACAGAAAAGCGCATGATAAACGAGGAGTTAGTCTTTTATGGGTGCGGAACGATTTATAGCACTGTCCAGAGGTGGATACGTCCACCGTAGCACACAGTCGTAACATTATTTCCCGGCCGGGGCGTTTTCTCGCGGATTTTGCGCGATAAATCACGCACGGGGAAAATTCTTAAACATCGCTTCTTTTGGTCACGTAATCGCGGCGATCGTATTAAAGTCGATTCGAGCGATAAGCGAAGCAATAACTGCCTCAAAACCATTCCAAAAAAGGATGCTCCATTTATACGTTTAACGAATGTAACATCTAGCTTTGCGAAATTAAATAAAGCATGAAAAATCTCGAAAAACTGCAACACAAATTTTAAAAAATTAAAATATTATCAGCTTTTGCAAAACTTGTAAAATTGCATAATATTCATATTGCACAAACTTCATATAACATCCTAAACTTTATAAAATAATACGATATTCAGATAAGAAAAAAAATTACTATTGTATGTGACTAAAAACAATTTTATCAATTATAAATATTTTAAAGCATATGCAATTATTTTCCGAATAATTGTATGTAACGTTAAAATGAGACTATTATAGTATCGAGTAATTTTTCAGAGCAATATATTAAAAAAATAAATTCACAAACATCGCGTAAAAAAATTGTGAAAAAAAAATAAATAGACTTCATTAACGATCAATAAACTTTTCATGCTGCTTTCCCACTGCAATATCCCTCTATTTTGGGTTACCACGCTACTACCTATCCAATCCTTCGATTATACTCCCGCACAACTGTTGCCTCACGCAATTTCAGAAACATAACCGCATAACCGGCGAATTAATTCGCCGGCGTAAGTTTAGCAACGCGACCAATTCATCCATTCACCGTACCGTTTCGACGAGAAGATCGTGTTTCACGGTATCGCGAATCGCGAACGCGCGTTTCGACACGAATAAATCGGGCATCGACGACCATGAAGTGATCAATTCATTGTCAATAACAAATAATCCCATAATCGTACATGTAATACCACTAATGCTGCGGGGATGACGACAGCCGATAAACGGCGCCCTCGAATGCGCCGCTGCTTCGCGAAATGCAGACCATCGCAATACGTCCTGCGCTACGGATGCATATTGCAGTGGCTTGATTCTCTTATCCACTCCTAGTGTATACTCGGAATAGTATATACGGAAATTTGCGAACGGCAAAGAGAAATGCGTTTTTTTAACTCGATTCGGTACGATTTGTTGCGCAAATTACACAGAGATTTATGCACATTTGTTGGCATTCCATAAATAAAACAGAACTTTTTCAAAATCTTTCTGGACGAGATACTTCAAACAAACAGAGCTATACGCGTGTTTATTTTTCATAATAATTGTTATAAATAATTATTATTAAAAATAATTGTGTAGAATAACTCTGGAAATTGGCAATTTATTTTGCTAAACAAAAGAATTTCTTTCATTTAACTAGATGTGTGTTAGCTTATGTTATACAGTGTAAAAGTAATCAAACTAATTATTATATTATACTACTAAATTTAATAACTATAAATTAAAATGCTCATTCTGATATATGTATTAGAATGCGCCACAATAAATTTTCTAGAACTGCTTGTATACAAATATTAATATTTAAAAAATAAATGTTTTGTGAAAGAAGAATATTTATGAGACAGCAGCTTTCATCAAATTCTGAATAACAGAATAATAAATTATTATTTAATGCAGGAATGCATATGTCAGTCTAGACGACCTATTCCATCATAATATTGCTGCCCATAATATTGCTGAAGAAAAGTTTTAAAAAAACATTTTTTTACTTTTTTTTCTGAATGGCTCGATTTGACAATCGCGTAAATTCGCGTAAATTCGTGGATGACGTGTTTCTGACACGATAGACACGCATCGGACGATCACATATTTTGCGGACAGTGACATAAATCGTGAACACAGCAGCAAAGATTCAAAAGCTAAAGATCATGAACGTAAATGATGTCTCAATGATAAATCTGGAAAGCAATAGCTTGTCTCCAGAATATAAAGAAATATTTGAAATAGAACTTAATGAAAAAATAATCTATAATTATATATTGAAAATAGAATTCGTTTAATATAAATGTGAGAGCTGACACTTAAAGCGACTACATAATTACTTAGAGAATTAAATTTAAATGTTAGAATATCAGAAATATCTTTTATTCTGATCGAGAATCTATTGGAATCATTATCAGCTGGAACAATTTTGTTTTAAAATTAATATTTGATAAATGAATTCTTTTCAAGAGTAACGTAATTTCTTCTAGACTCTTCTCTCTTTATGATCGCTGCTTTACACATTTTGAAATTCCTTTTTTAAGTCTTCAAATCTCTTGTCGAGGTATTATCTCGGTAGCTCGCGGATGCACGAGCTGTGGAAACGTGCGAGAATAGCGAGATAGAGAACCAACGGGTTGCTGCGGTCTACACACACACACACACACCATATCCATATCTCGATGAAATACGAGACAAGTCGTCGAAGTCGATACGACTGTTTGGCGTCGAAGTACACTCCGCACGCATGCATTTGTTTAAAGCCATGCATATGCACTAGATGCCTCAGAAAAAATAAGATCAACGGCGATCATAGAATATGTAATCCATACCTCAGTGTTTCTTAAACAAGAAAAAATTTAAACATCATGTCGACTGCAAATTTACGAATAGAATCTAATTTTCTTTTAAAATTTTCTTTTAAATTAAAATTTAACAGTACAATAAACTAAGATATTGTTTGCACAATTTTTTCGAGTTTTGTTATTATAATAATGCATAATATAGATGCAATTCTTTATTTCTTTCTTAATTTTAATAGTATTGTTCAAAATTAATTACAAACACTCCACATATGTTGACATAAAAATTTCAACTAAGTATTCTCAAGAGGAACAGACAAAGATAATAAATAAAATAAAATCTTTGATATAGGAAAAAGAGTTTGAGAAACACTGAGGCATGCACGTGATGCAGAGGAAATCCAAAATTCATTCGACGTCTGCTGTGCAGGCTGGCTTCGTGTATAGTAACATCCATATACGGAGCATACAGAGTGATCGCGTGCATCGACGCATGTTTATGCACGCCATGCAGCGAGACAAATAAAGAGAGAAAGAAAGAGAGAGACAAAGAGGATAGAGGAGGGAAAGCTTCAACGGAGTAAGCGTGGTCAGCAAGATGTATAGACGTATCGTGACGTTGATTCGATTTTAGCGAATCGAACGGGGAAAATCGTTTTGCATTACGATCTGCTGCCGGTTCGACGGAAAACAACGGGAGCTAATTACAAATGCAATCGCTGCGCGCGAAATCGCGCTATCTTGGAAATAAAACAAACAACGTCATTCGTTGCTTTGTAGAATGTACGAATGAAATAAAGGATACTTTAACTATTGAAAGTATTCCTTCCTTTTTTTAAATCTTTTTCCATCATGAATTCTTAAAATTTGTTCCAGCTCGACAGAATTATGCACTCGCGACAAGTAAATAAGTAATTAGTAAATATTTCTATTTCACTTAGCGATTAGAAATTCTTCAAATCCAAATTTCAAGTTCCCAATGATCTGTCATTACAAATATCGCGTATATTGAAGAATCTGACACACTTTTCATTTACCTTTCAATAGATAATAAATCATTAAGTAATAATTTAAATTATCTGATAGGGAAATTCCAATATTGCAATTCTATCTCACTGATGACTCATCAAGTTAATTTTTGAGTAAATGGTTTTAATCAAAGTAAATGTTTCACATTTTAAGCATCCACAATTTCAAGAGAAATTTATAGTTTCGTGATATCTTGCATTTTACTTTACTGTTTTGAAATGGATAACGTTTCGATCGATGTATATTCATCTCGATGCAGATTGGAAAAAGATTTTCGGAAAAAGCTACATATATATTACAATGTTGATTTGATTCGCGAGTAGATGGAAAGATCCGAATTTGCAAAAAGTTGCTATCGAAGGGAAATAGCGCATGCAACTCACGCACAATACAATACGCGATATTTATGGATAAAAACTTTTTGTCCTAGTGCGCACGCGAAAAAAATCGCTGCAATGTCTGTTTTTCAGGTAATTGCTTTTCTAGAGAAAAAACCGACACGTCATCCACCCATACCGTCGTTTTCAATATTTACATGTGCGCTCGTCGCATCGCGCGCACAAATCGCGTTGTCGATTTCGATTTTGCTTTTTTCTCTGTCGAACTTACATATTGACAAAAAAGAAAAATCACTGCGCGGATTCACGAGAATTTGAGAAGCGAATTTTTTAAAATGCGATACAATGCGTTTGTCAAATCGAGAGTCAAGAGTTAAAAATCTGATCGTGATTTGTAGGATTGAAATAATAATAGATAAAACTTTAGTGTCACTCACCCGTCGATGACTATCTCCATTTGTAAAGGCGAAAATAAATCTGAAAAAGAGAATGACGTTATCATTGTTGTACGAGAATGTGTGAGAAAGATATTAATAATTTATAAATTATTTATTAATAAAAACAAAAAGTAATTTTTCTGTAAATTAAGCTTCTCAATATTACTAATAAAATTAAGAATAATGATACAGATAAGGAAAGAATTTTTGTAAAAAAATTTAGTTTATACAATTAAATTATTTCGTTTTTATATATAATAAATTTAAAATATCATAATTTTTAAAATTTTGCCCTTTTTCTTTATATATTCTTGTTTATTATGCATTGATTTACAAAAAAAAGGAGTTTATAATAATACAGCATGAATAGTAGACAATCTAAAATAATTTTTACTCGTGTTTATTAGTATTTAACAGGATATAATTTTTATACGGTATTCCGGTTAATGCCCGTTGACCGCGAAGAGGCAAGCAAATGAATTTTCAAGTTGCTCGTGATTTTCATGGCGATGCAAGTTTTAATGGTAGCGCATTAGAGCGTACTGCAAAAGTAGTTACAGTCACGCAATGGTCAGACCGAGTCAATTCGCGCATTTCGACGTGGCAATTGTACCTGTTCGCGTTATTGGTCGGCCTTAATCGAAGTAGAAGACTCCTTTCGGACGATTCGTCTCGCGAGAAGCGGAAATTATTCTTCCGACACCGTTCGCTTGACTCCGATAATATGCCGTCATACAGATAACGGAGGGGAGGCACAAGTGGGACGCGAATCGTTCGACTTGAATCGCGATTCGATTGCTATCGTAATACGTAACAATGAGATTGCTCTATCTTTCGCGCATTGAAATATTTAGATAAAGCTGTAGAACGCGTAAGTGTTATTTCCGCAATCGCTTAAGCTAATTGAACCTAAAAGACTATTTAAGTTTCAAGTGCACTTTCGCGGGGGATTTAATTGCATTACATTCGTGAGATAATCCGACACAATCTCGTTTCGCTTAAAGCACCTCGATCGTCCATGAGATAAAGAATACGAAATAATGGAGGGGACGGCCGAACAGGGACAAAGGGAGGAAAAAGGTACCGGAGGACGAAGGCACATCGTCCTTTGGTAAAGAGATGTATCTTTAATCACGACGAGCAGCCGATTCGGTTGTCGGGCTCGTTTTCTGCCGTCACAGATGCCGTACGACGTGTACCGACGTACAAGATAAATGGCAGATAAAAAGAGACAGCCGCTGTATCGTGCTTTATCGGGCTTTTCCCCGTATAGAAACGAAGACCGGTCGCCAGGCTTCGGACCTTCTCTCACCCTCCTGAAAACTTCAGGCGAGTTTTACGCCCCTCGATAAACACTGATTGCTTCTTAAATTGCCCCGAGCTTGCATCTAAGCTCCGCGCGATCGTGTTACAGGAAATTGTAACTGTCGCTTCTATTGTTACAACTTCATTACAAAATATTTAACAATATTTTGTGCGAAACGTTGCATCTGATAATAAATAATATCAAATCCTTTATACATCTAATGTCCTATACCTATTCCTGCATGATTGTTAGAACATTATAATTTTTTGAGTAAATTCGTGGATATATATTTTTCAATGGCTGCGTTCAGCAAAAAAAGCGGCTTTGCAACTGTTGTAAAATTCATTAATATGATTGGTTTGTACATTTAGATCCATGAAGAACTATAAAGGCAAGAACTAATCATATTGAAGAATCTCACAACAGTTGTAAAGCTGTTTTCTCTGCTGAACGCAGCCAATGTTAAATATACATATAAATATGTAAAAATATCTGAACATATCTGAATATATCTGTGCAATTTTAATATTAAATGTTTTTATCGAAATCGTGAGAAAAATTAACATACATCATCAATTTTCTCAAGGAATTTTTTATGAAAGCCTTGAGAAGATTTATTCACAGATGAACCCATTCGGATTAATTTCGCGATGGTAACGCGCGTTTCGGAATACGTATGCGCGCGGTCTATTTACGTGCATTTTGATAACGAAGAAGGTGCAGCAGACCAATTCCACCGATCCGACCGTTGCGTGACCGCAAACACTTCGGGGATACCTGCGCAATACCATTCAAAGCCCCGGGACACAGGTGCTCCAGCATCGTTCCGTGCCGCTGAATTGGCTACGGCTATCGCGCGACTATTTGCACGGTGTCATGCAATTTGTACACACGAGCGTAGCCTGAGCCTCAAAAAAATTTCAGTGAAAATATTTCGTGAAGTATCATTCCTTTTTTTATTTATTTAAACCAAAGATGTAATTTATCGTAATTTTTCGCGCTCTCAATCTCAAGCAAAAGACTATCAATACTTTTGATTAAACAAAAATTAAATATTCAATACAGTATTGATTGAAAATTTGACAAATATTATAATAATAATTCTGTCGCACCGTGCAATAACTTGTGTTACTCTTACAATTAGCTGCATTTTTCAAAATTAATCAATAAGCCAAGGCATGTACGATTTGTATAAGCTACGTGTGTGAAATGTGTCAACATCGCGATAAAACGTGCATTACAACGTTGCAACGTAACAATCGCAAACCTCACGCGAGCGATACTTTAATCTCGTCCGAATTAATCAGCTGACTGATCTGACCGGCCGGGTGAATTATGGTCCAGCTTGTGAATTCGTGCCGAGGCCGAGGTCGTGACTGTTACAAAACTCGCGTGTCTTTTCCACGACGTGGAAAAAGCAGCATCCGTCTGACCTTTTCTCGTCGACGTTGATGGACGAGACGATGATTGGTATTCGGGGTTCGAACTGAGAAATAAAGTACCGCTCCTAAGTCCGTTCCTGATGTACTACTATCCCTTCCAAACTTTAATTTTGTTTCGGAAAAAATGGCACCCGTACGAGTTATCAGAAAGTGCTTGAGTCAACATAGATATAAAGATACTAAACGTAAAATATATTATATAAAATTTACCAGGATTTTTTATACATTATATATCATGATATACTAGAGTAAATTAAGAAATTAATATGATAAAACGTTGTTATAAAATTAATTACTCTGAATAACGATAAATATATAATGCTCATTTTTTATAAATACTTAAAAAATATTATTTAAAAGTACTTTGTTATGTTAGCTCATATAATACTTCCATTATATAAAATAAACTGTAATTAATTATATAAAATAAACTGTAAGTATTAAATATCCACTCAGCCACTCAAGTTTTTTTAAATATAATCCCTAAAGTGTCAGAAAAAATTATTTAAAAATATGTAAAATCAAAGAAATTTTTTATAATAGAATTATCATAATGCTCCTTTATCATAACTTTACCATATTCAAGAAGTAAATTCGATTTTTGAATAAATTTGATTTAAATTTTAATCTCATTGATCGAATGTAATTCAAACTTTCATTAAATAACTAAAATCATGAAATGAATATTCTTCAGCACGACGTTCTCCCTTCGATTACACCCTTTCCCGTTAACGACGGCAAAAAGAACGGAAGAGCGGAATGAAGCGAGCGCGAAAGTTCGCAAAGCCGAGGAATTTCCGGGCGTGTCCCCGCGCGCACACTTTGCTAGCAACTACGCTACTTTTCCACAGAATAAGAAGGGGAAGGTGATTCGCCGTCCATCAAAAAAATCTCCTTTTTCCGCGGACGAAATAAACCGTTCGCACGTACGACGAATTCGCGATGGAAGGGAAAAAGAAAGGAGCCCGCGCTATGAAAAGAAAGCATTTCGGTTAAAGGGTCTTCTTTTCATCCTCGCCGTTATTCAGGATGTAATATCGTCTCATCCCTTTCGAAAACCCACCCTTCTTGCCTGTACCTTCGGCTGTCCGCGTGCACCTTTAATGCCCACGTTGCCACTTTTGCTACGTAATGCGATAATGGCGCGTTAAGCGCGCTTAAACAAGGCTCTGCTTTTCTCCTGATCTTCCGCCATTCCTTCCTATCACGCATAGTTTCCAGTTTGTGATAAAAGACTGTTAAAAGTGTTGACGCATCCCTTCGCCGGCGACTAGGCGAATATTCGTTCGGCTTTCAATTTTTCCGGCGCTTTTTTCGGAATATATTATAACCGAGCAAAAGAGCTTTAAAGTTAATATATCTTCTTGTATTCGATGAATGTTACTGAAAATAACTATTATTGAATAATTTTAACTACGCATTTCTTTAAGAGCAAAAGATTTTTAATCTTTTATATTCTACAAATGTGCATCTGTATTCTCGCGTTTTATAAAATTATGAAATTTCTATTTTTTATTTTTAAACAAATAAAATAAATATTCTTTATTTTTAAATGTTAATTTTAAGATTTTGTGTTTAAAAATTTAAAATTTCAGATTTTTATATTGCAAACTAATTATGTCGAGTAATACAGAATACGATATGATGACCTTTGTTAAGGAAATTTCGGATTAAGACCCATATTCGAGCACCCTTTCATGGAATCTGTCTTGGCTGCTTTGTACCTGTTTTCAAGAAGCTCTTAAACACACCCGGAGGGGTGAAAAGTATTAATTCGAGCCATTGAACCTAAGGGCAAACATCAAAGGCAAGACGCGAGGGAGCTATGTCGAGTTTATCCTCTCAAGTGATGATGTCTAAAAAGTGTGTGTGCTTCATCATGCTGAGAAAATTAGAGTAAAAGCTCTAAAATTTAAGCATAACATTATTATTTAACAGAGAATTATAACATAATATAATAATTATATAGTCATGAAGTGCATGAAGTGTGCGTCCACCATTGCTAAAAGCAAACTTTGTATATTTGTATAGTTAAATTATTTACGTAGTTCCTCTTTTCGTAACAGAAAACTTCTGTACTTTCTCTGCTTTCTTCTAATAGAAAAACTAACGTTCGTTGAAATAACTTTTTAATAAGGATCTTCAACGAATAGAAGTCGAGATATTGTAAATCTTTTCACGTTAAGAATTGAAGACAAAGAATAAAATTAATCGACAAGTAAAGCTCGATATTTCTAGTTTTATTAGGAAAAATTGAAACAATCAGGAATTAATCAAAAATTAATTTTTAAT